GTTCACGTTTGCATTTTTCAACAGTTCACTGATCAGTAATTTATTTTCAGACTTCTGCATGCCAATTATCAATGCAAGGTTCTAATCGAAACTGGACCTAGCATTATATATTACTCAGTTTAAAATTAAAAAGTCATTATAAAGTGAGATTAAGCTGAGATAAAAAGCTTTTTTTCTTTCTTCATATTTTTTCTAAGTGACTGCCGAAACCAGGACAGTACTCAAGCGCTTGTTGATAGCTCAGAAAGATTCTTGCTTGCTGAAGAGATTGTTTTTTGTAGTGTGAGATATCGCATAAATATTATTAATATAAGTCAAATTGTGGTTCCAAACAGTGGCAGAATTCTTAATACTAATCCCCCCATTGGAGATCAGGCTAATCCAGTTCTTTACAATGTTGGCTGGTGAATGAGCTCCATTACATGAATCTTATTACAGCTGTTCAAAATTTTTTTTTCCTATTTCCCTTGCAAGTAGTGTCATTTTTTGTAATTCTAATGCAATGCTTGTAAATGCAATGTTTATAACAGATTTAGTTCAGTTTTGACATACACCTATTCTAAGACACTCAGTTCTTTTTATAAATACAAGAAAAAGATGTTTCTTCACTGTTCTGCTTTTCTGTACGATGTTGAACATCAACTTGGAGACGCTGGTATTTATTTTACTCCATGCCTATGATTTCATACACCATTCCTCTCAAAACAAGTATAATCCAACAACTTAGTGGCTCACAGTCAGGAAATACTCTTTTGGAAGGCCGATCTGAAGGTAGTCAATAGAAGCATAGCTTGTCATTTGAAATCTTAATAGCATTAAAGGATTTGTAAGCAAACAGTTCCATGTTGGCAGGGACAAGTGTTTGCTTATATAGGGGAAGCATTAACAATTTTGTCAATAGTATCCACAGCCATGTCTCATCGGACTATGGCTACCTTTGTACCGCTAATTACAGTAATTTATTACAGGCTTCTGTCCCATTACTTGGATGACTTGATGCGAGTAAGGACTGCTGCAGTAGCAATGAAGACTATGTCTGAAAGAATGATGTAACAATTGATTAAATAAGCCATCCTGATCACTTGAAAGCTGGATTCCTACTTTGTAAGATCTGCCTTTAATATCAATAGGCTCTATCTGTATACTAACGTATGCACAGATAATTCCTCTATAGGACTCATTAATATTCATTTTCATAAATGAAATCTGTGATTCCTCAATCAGGACATTTCATTTCTTTGGTCAGAGATACATTTATGTAGAAACAATTCCTTCATGTTCTTAAACAAGGATTTTCAACTGGTGAACCACAGACATCAACCTACAAGTGGAATTGAGCCTTATTTGAACGGGTTCTAGACAGTGAGATCTGCAAGTGATTTTGTGAGATAGAACCACCAATACCCTTCTTCTTGTGATATTTTTGTGTGTGTGTGACATTCTGGCATTTAGTTACGCTTATTAAATGGTGCCTTTGACTTCTGAAGACTGGACAATCAGATTTTTTTTTTGTTGAGGAGGTGGAAGTAGTGGAAGAAGTTCTGACGACATTTCTCTTTCCACTCTCTTTTTTCTCGGCATAATCTTTCTTATCTGTCAGCAGCTGTTCATGATGCTGAAGCTTATATCTGTAGTTTCTTTTTCTCTCATGCTTGCAGGCATGGATCTCTTCTCCAATTGCACGGAGGAATGTAAAGCACTGGGCCACTCAGATCGGTGCTGGATGCCTTCCTTTGTTCCATCTGATGGACGCCAAGCTGCAGATTACCGCAGCAATCTGCATGTACCTGGCATGGACTCCGTTCCAGACACTGAAGTGTTTGAAACACCAGAAGCCCAGCCGGGGGCAGAAAGGTCCTTCTCCACCTTCGGCAAAGAGAAGGCCCTTCACAACACTCTGGAGAGGAAGGAGTTGGATGGACTGCTGTCTAATACACGAGCGCCTTACAAACCACCCTATTTGAGTAAGTACTATTCAAAAAGCTGTATGAAAGTGTTCCCTTTGCGGGAATAAAAATTAGCTCTTTCTGCTGTTCATAGTAGGAATAATACAGACACAATTTTAGGAGTGGTGGGGAAAAATGGCTTCTCTTGGATTCAGGCACCACTGAAGAAGGCATTGTTCAGTGCTTTTAAAAAAAGACAAAACCTTGATTGTTTTTAGTGTGACATGATTGTCAACAACAAAAGTATCAGCTGATATTAGTGGGGGAGTTGCTCAATTTTGTTTTCTGCTGCTGGATTATTTTCAAAGTTTTCCTGGATAGATGGTTTAAACATTGACATTGCCAGGCTAACTTTTTTTAAGACTAAAATTAAGTCAAGAGAACTGTCCTAGGAGCTTCTTTTTATGATTGAGCAGTATCTTGTGAATAAACAGTATGCGTATTATTTTGAAGTAACTATTTACATAGTTAACATTAAGGGTTTGGAAGGGAGAAGATGAAACTTTTTGCTTTCGGTCTGATCATCTTTCAGCCTACATAGTATTGACTTTTGTCAGTGCTCCTTCGTGCCTTCTGTCTTGTTCCAAAATCTTGCCTCTTTCTTTAGTCACCTTTTGACTATGGTTGGGTGACATGAAAGAGTGTGATAGATCTCAAAAAGACCTTCATAATTCCTTTTGGAGTCTGGGCCAGTTCTAGAACCCTTGAGTAATACTTTGATCTAATATGTCTTTTCATTCTATTTAGCAGCCTTCCGTATTTTATTAGAGACTGTAATCTCCTTGACTTCAAGAGTTTATGATGTTTATCTCATCCAAATAAGCCAAAGATATTAACATTGCAATACCGACCCTTTAAAGCGACAAAAGTCTTTTAGGACAGCAGATCAGGGGTAAAAAAAGAATCTCACTGACTGGTATTAATTTATTTATTTTTATAACGCATTTAGTTGTTCTGAAAGGTGCTGCACTGGCAGCCCTGGCACGTGAAGATCTTTGCTACAGATCATTCTCAGCACAGACAGCTCCCTTCTTAATTAGCTGTCCAGGTATTTCAGTCCTTCAGAGAGGCCTTTTTACCACTTCACTCTTTAGATTTGCTTTACTGAAAGCTTCTAAATTTGGATACCAATTCTGGTATGTGAAAGCCATTCCTAAAAAACCTGTCCTGAGACAATCAGCTTATTTTGTGTAGGCTAAAATGTCAGGTGTCAATCATCTGGTCATACTCTAAAGACCAATGTGAAATTTCACTTAGCTGTGACCTAACGACTCATGACTCCGTCTTTCCCTATCTGGTCTTCCATCTTTTTCTTCTAAGAAACATTCTTTAGTACTAAGCTGTAATCTAGCAGTACTAATTTCATCTCTATCACTTCAGTTAAAAATGTGAGTTTTGTAGCACTGATGGTGTAATCACAACAGAGTTCCGATGCAGTAAGTGCATTACAATGATGATTATATCTGGTGACACCACAATGGTAGTTCTGTTCTGTTTTGTTCTAGGCTTGGGAGTTTTATTTCAAATAACAATGAAATACTTTTTACTGATAGCTTAGGGATTTTAAATTTTGTTCAGCTAACATAAGTAATATTGTTGAACAATGTGTTTACACATAGATATTGGTCTACATTTTACACTTTTCTGCTGTAAGGGCATAAAAAATTGGAGGTAAAATGTCAGAAGTAAATAATATAAATGAGTGGTATCACGTAATACACACCTGAGAATCCAGATTTAGTTTCGCTTTTTTTCTTTGAACCTGAAAGCTAAAACTGCTACAAAACAAGAGTAATATTTCTCTGTTTTATTTTCCTTATTTAATATTTTCTTTAGTAAAATTTTAGATTACAATTGTATAGCAAATAACAGGAGCAAAGAAAAGAAAGTGAGATAGTTGTAGCAATGAGTAAATAATTCATTATTAATAATGTATTCAATGAATAAGGCAAGAGGAATGCATAAGAGGAAGTTGATTCAGGAAGGAACTTTAGTTGAGCCACTGGGTAATTGCAATTGTAATAAAAATAAATTCAGCTTCTTAACAAAGAAGATCATATCAAAATCAGTTTGTCAGTAGAACGCTTTTTTTTAAAGAAGTTATTAAAATGTATGAAACAGGACCCTCATATTCAGCAAAAATACTGTATAAAAAGTTGCAGCATGTATGAAAACGGCCTATATGAAAAATCAGTTGCAAAGAAGAAAAAGTATATCGCAGAATACACAAACTATTTGAACTAAAAAGGTCTCTTGGAAAAAAAAAAGAGAGATTCTTAAGCAAAATGATCAGAAAAGCGCGTAAGTTCTAGCAGGTAAACTTTAGGATAGTAATTAGTGGAGACAAGAGGGACTTCTTAGAGCAAATAGCCAAAGGCATGCAAATAAATATAGACAATTTTTAAGATGTCAAGTGTAGTAAACTAGGAGAGAATTGGTGGGCCTCTTGAGCTGCAGTTAGTGAGGACAAGGACGTTGCAGAGATTCTAAACTGTTTCTTCGCATTTGTATTTACCAGAGGAGGGACGGAGAAAGAAAGACAGGCATATTTAGGAAGTCACCCATCCCAGGTAACCGTTTCAAATAAATGTGCAAGACTGAGTCATGGAAGAGGAGGATGTTGAAAAATTGACTAAAACAAATAGGAAGAACTCAGTGGATTATGTGCGTTTTTTAATTTTCAGTTTCTAACAAAAGCTGTTAACCGAAGAATGTCAGAAGTTGTGTTTATCGTTAAAAAAGGTACTAGAAAATCTTGTAAATTAGAGACCAGTGAGAAACCTTAACATAGGACATAAAATTGTAACTCAGGGGTTTTAGGAACAAGATAGCTGGCATCTGTCCAGGAAATTGCACAGAAAGATTGTCAATCTTTTGATAGAGTAGGTGAGAATTAATCGACATAGTGTATTTGAACTGTCAAAAAAAACCCTTTAGCATAGCTTCTGTGTAGTAGAAGAAACTACTAAAGTAAGCAAGTGTTGTCACAGGGCAAAGCATTACCAGATTCTCTGTGCCTAAGAGACAAAAATCATAAGGATAATGGAACATTTTAGCAGAAGCAGAGTTCCCCAAGTGTCTATGCAGAGATCCATGGAGTTTAAAAAATTATAAGAGACAAATCATAAGGATAATGGAACATTTTAGCAGAAGCAGAGTTCCCCAAGTGTCTATGCAGAGATCCATGGAGTGTTAATGACATAAAATGGTTTAGGTCAATCAAGTCTCTAATAGACTACATATGCCCACATTGTGCAGTGAAGCACGGTCCGGAAAACTCAGTCTGCTTCTGACCTAGCTCGCTCTGGAATTGACAGCTGCAGAGCAGTGTCAGCACGGTGGAATAGCTGAGCAAACGTACTTGTTTAAGTTGTGCCGTTAGTGCAATAGCTGCAAACGTAAACCAGTAGCTCTACGTAGAGCTTTCACTGTGCCATATGAGTGTATCTACTCAAGTTTGTGTCTGCTTGGTGATTCCTGCACTGAGTTCCAATGGGTACGTTCAGTGCAGAACCTTAGAAAAGACAGATGAGGAAGGCGATGTGTATTATCATGAGAAATTTGAACTCTTCTTGAGAAAAAAGACCATGGAATAATTCCCTGAAAAGTGTCCCCCAATGTACAAGGCCAGCAAGAAGGAAATAAAATGCCAGGTTGTAAAAAGAAATTGAATTGAAAATACACTGAAAAAGTATTACAAAACCCTTACACAAAACCTATCCCTATGTTGCTCTAGCCTGTCTACTCATTCCATAGAAAGACATGGCATAACGGCAAAAATACTGAAAATATTTCTATGCAAAGTCATATCAAAAGCTTAGTACTAATTAATTTAGACAAGCTGTGATAGGGACATGAAGTAAACAGGAGACTGCATGAAAACAGAGAAGGTAAGCTGGGCGCTTTCGTTTGCCATTCTCAGTGACAAGAGAGCAGCAAGGCAGCGAAGCAATTGAAGGGCAACCAGGTCATGAACTGATAAGATCATATACATTTGATAAAATGATACACATTTGACACAAATAATACAGTAATCTGTCAAATTTATGTTTATGGGGTATGATTGAAAGCAAAGGCTTAACAGTGGGGATTTGGGTGTTTGCTTCTCTGTTGTTTGAGGTTTAGGTCACTGCATGGATAAATGAAAACAGCAGCAGCTATATTACAAATTATAATGTAGAAAAAGATATAAATCCTCATACTTGAAAGGGTTTCTTTATGTCCCATTATCAAATTTTCACCTTACTGGTCTAAGCCATTGGACTTATTAATACACCGATTTCCACATAAACATACATATTCTGTATATTATTCTGAGCAGAATACACTAAAAGTAGATCTCTTTTTACTCAAATAATATATTTTGAAGAATATACTTTTTACATATGTTTTAAGTATTTATTATGAATACAAGTTATAAAATTGTGATAAAATCAATAAATTGTAGGGGGTTTGAAAACAGTTTTCTCATAGCGTGACTCCAGGATTCTTCTAACTTGCATATTCTTCTTACTGCGTAATTTACACTTATTTCTTCTTATTCATCCACGTGATTTGAAGACTGCCTTTCTGCAAACAGTTAAGAAATTTTCATAATGACTTGAATGTTCGTAAAACATGAAAGAGATTCTGAACTTGACTGGAGAAAATAAAATAAGTGAAATAATACCGGTAAGGAAAATAAAATGTAGCTTTTGAACAATTCCTATATTTTTAAAATAGATTCTAACCATTTCTATCTAATTTTTCATTCAGTAGTGGTTATAGTAGCCATTATTTTTTTAAGTATTTTTACTGTAGTGACCAAAAACCCTAATCCAAGATTCAAACTCTGTTGTACCAGATTCTGTAGGATATCTAACAGAGACTATCTTCACAATGAATACCTGATCAGTCTGATTCTGATCTATTTCTAATACTTCGGACCAGGTCCTGAGATGGTAACAGTGGGAATAGCACCATTACATCCCTCTCAGTAGTGTTTTGGTCTATAGTTGATGATAAGAAGTAGCTTCCCC